AAATGCTAATTGATGAGTTCAAAGTGGTACCTCTAAGTAGTACGGCTCTAATTTGTTAGAAGTTTTGTTTGTCTAGTTAATGGTCGCTTATATATTATATTTAAGTGTGGTGTCGGACGTCTTCTCCCAATGAGCTACTTCTGTTTTGAGGTAACTTTTGAGATGCCCTATTTTTATTTTTATTGTATCCAGCACTCAAGCTTCTTTGTTGGAGGCGATGGGGGATTTGGACATCGTCCTTTTCTTTTGGCATATTAATGAGAGCGAGTGTTGCGAGTTATGTTTGTTCCATATCGATTAATGGTAGGGGTGTTATTATGAATAAATTTGGGTGTGACATTCTCTGTCGGATTCGTGCTAGTTTTTTAGATGAGTTCTATCTAGTCTCATTTATCATAATTCAAGTACTTGAGAGATAAATTCAAGTATCTGATATGAGTTCTATCCAGTCTTATTTATCATATTATCGTAATAAAATTGCTAGTATTGACCCATTTAGAACACCTGTTGTAACTTTTAGCTTTTGGAGATGGGTGACAACTCTAAGTGGTACTATTTAATAGGTGGTGGTGTAGCTTCGAATAACTCTCCAAGAGGTTCGTCCAACTGGTTGTTGTAGCTTCGAATAACTCCAAGCGATTATGCTCAACTGGTACAATCGATCAGGTTCAGTCCACATGACCACTAACATTTTCTTGTATTGTGGTTGCTTGTTGCTTACTTTGTGAGTCTCCATTACATATTCCATAACTTACCTTCGGTTACAAATTGAGTGGCAATGTACAACGAAAAATCTACTAATCTGTAAATTGAGTGGGGAAAATATACTAATCTTTACATTGAGTAACGATCTGCAACGGAAAATCTATTAACCTAAAGATGACGTTTGCTGTTCTTACAATTGAACCAAGAAAAAACTTGAAAGCGGAAAGAAATAAGTAGAGACGTGTGTTGCTATTTTCACAAAACAAATACGTCCCGTAATGTACTGACGTGTTCAGGCGTCTAGTTCTCAAATATACAACGACTACGTCTCAAAAGATGTAAAAACCTCAGACTTTCGAGCTCTGGCGAATTTAACAGAGTCGAGAATGAACATTGTATGAGGCTTTTTAAAATAGCAAGTATGCATGTAATGTTATGTGTATCCCGATCTGCAGGCGCTCTACCATGTCATAATGATATCGGAATTCCAACCAGGCAAGAGATACTCTTGATCATCAGTCAATTAAGGAAGGTAACAACCAATGATGACCATTGTAAAGGGCATAAAAGGTGTTAACACACCACTACTAAATCTAATGACCTTCTGAAATGGTCATGTGGAATCAACATGTGTATATACGTTGTATATGGAGAGGTCGCAATGGGTCAAAACTCGAGTCCAAATGCGACTTGAGTTGGATTTTTATTTTGGGCGATAATTTTGCAAAAAAAAAAAATTATAGCAAAAAAAATATAGTGGTTGGGTCCCAGGTTCAAACCCAACACTAGCCCAAACCATTCAAGGCCGCCTAAGTCCAAGGAAAAGGCCAAGGTCGAGGCTTATGCCCGAAAGCCCAGGCCTCGAACCGAGTCGACTAGTGCGCACTGCGCGCGTGGTCACCGACACTTGGTGCATAGATTTGTTGTTCTGACATCTCAAACTCTCTTTATTGTAATAAATAGAGTTATCATCATTTAACAGTCCAATGTGTGATGAGACTCTTGACCATTCGAATCCCACAACCATCGTTTTATGTGCCCATTAATGACTATTTTTAGTTATTTATTTCTCACTCATAGCAAATCACTTTTGAGAATAAATATAACATGAATATATATTGAAAACGTGCAATTTTTTCTACACAATTTAATTGACCTTGAATTAAATGATAGGTATAAAAAACAGTCAAGTATGGGTCAAATCCAATTTATTTTTCTAAACTGATTTTCTAATTCTTTATGAGTTCTATGATTGAGCTCAAGATTTGTAGACATCAAAATCATTTTGATAACCTATGTGAAATCAATTTAAACAAAAACAAAAATTACTGTTGAATTTTTTAATTTATTCAATTCGAATCGAGTCGAGCCAAACAATAATCGATACGATTTTGGAGATCTTAGAAACATTCGTACAAAAGACTAAATACAACAATTTTATATCATGCTAAATCGAAAATTGCGAATTATTAATCGAACTACATCATGATATGTGTCTAGCCCTTATAGTTTGTCAATTTTAATCCTCAATTATTTATTTTCAAAATATTTAATAAAAAATAAACCTCATAGAAGCTAAATATCAATTGTTGTTTTTTTCCTACTTTTATTCAAGTTTATGCCTAAAATGGTATGAAAAAATGATGTATTTTTTTTAAAAAAAAAATTGAGATAAATTTTATTAGAAGTCCACGTTTCCAATGTGCACAAATTCAATCTTCACTAATATTGTGATTCAATATTATACATTTTTGTAGTTAAATTTCAAACAAAATCTTTAATAAATTGGAAATTGTATATATCAATTAAAATATAATTAGTTTTTCATTTGAAAAAAAAAATGCTCAAAAAATTAGGACGTGTGTAAATATGTCTGAATCAAGTTCAATCTAAACTCAAAATCTATCTAAATTTTAACTCAACTCCACTATTATCAGTATTATTAATATAATTAAATGATATCAATCAATTATCATTAAACGTTACATCAAATTTATTTCACTAGTCATTCACTCGTAAAATTTTAACTACCTATCATTTCTCACAATTTCATTCTTACTTTTATATCAAATATACTTTAATGATTTTGATAGTAAATATTATTTTAATACAAACCTAAAATTCCACTAAAAAATAACAAACCCAACTTTTTCAAAAGTAACATGGTTAACGAAAAAAAAACCAATAAGTATATCCACAGTCATTCTTACACATCACATCAATTTTAATTTATTAGTCATTAACTCATATAATTTTAATTAGTTATCATTTCTCATCATCTCTCTCATATTTTTATATCAAATCAACTTTAATTATTTTATTTTAAATATTATTTTATTACGAACTCAAAATTTCGCTGAAGGCTAACAAACCAACCTTTTCAAAATTAACATTGGTTAACAAAATAAACACCAATCACTATATATACTCACGCCCTTGGTAATTAGAAATCTTTTGTATAATCAACCTAAACCAAAAAAAATTCTGATCCGTTTTGATAGTTTCAATTTTTTAAGTCGAATTTGATAAAAAATAGAGAGGATGTTTGTTTATATGTATAAAAAAACTCATATTCATACTCAAAATCTAATTCAACAGTAATTCAATCTCAATTTCGTCATTATTATCAATATAATTAATAATATCAATTTATCATTTTTATACATCAGATCAATTCTATTCACTATTCATCCACTTCCAATCATTTATCTCATACTTTTACATCAAATTAATTTTAATTTAAATATTATTTTAATATAAAACTAAAAACTTACCAAATCAACTTTTTTAAAATTAATTATGATTAACAAAAAAACCAATAAAAAGCTGGTTTATTTGTATACAAACCGGCCCAAAATATCTGAATCCAACCATCCATTTTTCAATTTTAGTTTATAAAATACTCGACCATTCAAACTTTTCGAAGCGAAGTCTACAAGGGAAAAGAACATCGTCATAGTACGCGGGCGTGGGCTATTTTAATAAATTACATTCGAATTTCAACTCGATTTTCAAGCATGATAAATCTTAACCACATGTTAACCCTACAAATCATATAGAAGCTTACACACGCCTTTACCATAATTAATCTCGAGAGCACACAGCTCACTCACCCAACACGTGGCGCACGCCTACCGGAAAACGTGGACTGGGCCCACACCAAAAAATATCCCAGCCTACCAATTTCAACCTTATCCACATTTCGCCCCTCAATCTCCTTTCTCGTCCCTTCGTAAACAAGTTTCTGACCCCTCAATTTCACACATATTCTATTTTCGCCCCACTCTTGTTTCTCGTCCCTTGAAATAAATCTCTATTGGATTATCCAAAAAAATATTTTTTCTGTATTGGGAGACGTGTAAATGAAGTAATAAACCGAGTTTGAATTCATTAATAAAAATGTTAAATAAATGAATGAGCCGCTTTGAAAACTCGATTCGACTCGATTAGTCAAATTTTAAGTTTTGCCTCGCTCGTTAGTTAAAAATGATAAATATATGAATGATTGAAAACTCGGTTCGACTCTACTCGCTAAATTTCGAGTTTTGCTTGGCTCGTTAGTTAAACGAGTCCAGCTCTAACTTGTTGAAAGTCCGTTTAGTTAACGAGTTAGTCTCGATTTGGATTGATTGATTAAGACTTGAAAATATTTTTAAATAAAAAAATAATTCTATATAATTGAACTCGTTAATGTTCAAGTTTGACACGTTCATAATGATTAACAATTCAAGCTCGAGTCAACCGTCTTGTTTATAATCCTGCTCATAAATTAAATAATAAGTTAGAGTTCAATGAATCAGCAACGTTCCAACGTTAACAAATCAACACAAACTCACAAATAACTATATTATCCGACACCCCTCAATTTCACATAAATTAAATTTTTGCCTCCACAACTTCTTCTCTCCTTCCTCCGAAACAAAAATCTCGTTGGCCTCTCAATTTCCCCTTATTTACAATTCGCCCCTCATTTGGCTCTTTATTCTCTCCAAATCCCACCTTGACTTCATTTTGTCTACCCAATCCCAATTCTTAAGAGACAAGACAAGAAAGACAATTTTCTTGCTATTAATTTTATTCATTCATTATTGATTTTTAATCTTTTTTATATAAAAATTTCACCTTAGCAACAACTCTCACTACCGCGAATCCGACTATTCAGTTTCGTCCGTTGCTCTCTTATTTGTTTAACCGTAAATTCAAGAACCCGTGCCCAAAAACCCTAATATCCTCTTGCTTTATCCTTTACTTTTTTTTTTAATTCTTTTTTGCCCTTTTTCGTCTCAGATCTGTTTTCTCTGTGCTTCTGCATGTGTGATTGCGTTTGGATATTTAAAATTTCGATGAACACATGGTACCTGTGCTAGATCTGTGTTGGGTTCGTCAAATGGATGATTAGATTCTGAGATTTTGGCTGGTTGATGAAAAAGGTGGGTTCAAATGGATTGTGTTCCGTTCAAATCTGTTTTTGAGTTGGGATTCACACTTCTGGTAGTGAGGATTTGAATGTTGTGTATTGAACAGAGTTTCATTTTACTTCTTCTTNAATTTGGAGCCATAATCTGATTATTGGTGAGTTTACTAGGATATTACAAACTTTGGAATTTTTTTTTTCATTTTCGTTTTGAAATTTGTTCTAATTAAGTTGGATATGGCTGATGATTGAATTTCTTACTGTATTTAGGGGTGTTAATTGATGATGGAGAAGAAGTGAAGTTGCTCATGAACTATCGTATGACTAGAATGAACAGACAAGTGATTGAATCTGATAGTGGGCATCATTTGACAGGGGATAATGAGTCCTGTCTTGAGGAGGCAAATGAGAAACCATGCATTGATAATGTAATTAGCCCTTTTGCAGCAACAGGAAGTGTGGGAGTGACGATTGAATCCAATTGTAGTGCATCAGTTCAGGTAACCGATAAGGTATTAAACTGCATGGATGATAACCGAACAAAGGGATCCTCGAAAGACACTGAATCTCAACCTGTGCTGGAAACCCATGTGAACGATCCAAAATCTTACTCGGAAATCGAACTGAAAGAATGCGACAACTGCACCGAATCGGAACCTTGCAGTGGAAGTGGTGAAGACCATTGCATAGGGAAATTAGAGAATGAAACACTGAACAACCTAAAGGTAGAGTCCGAGCCAGTTGTGAAAGATGGTGAAATGGACACGTGCATGGAGGATCGTAGTGTTGGTGTCGAGCCGTGTACTGAAAATGGAGTGAAAGAGCCTACTAATGATGATGTGCACTCTGAAGTTTCGAATCCAAATCCTTCCCCAAAGCACGTTGCCTCGAGTTTGACGATTAGCAGCCAAGTAGATGTGGTTGGTAGTGATCATGGTGGCTGTGGAGAAATCACATCTGTTTGCCAGAGTTTATATGCTGATGAGAGTTTCTGTGAAAGCAAGTTGGAATCGTTTTCCAAAGATAGTGTGGTTCTTGAAATTCCAAAGCATGTTAGGCCCAGTGGTATTAGGAAGATCACATTTAAGTTCAGTAAACGGAAGGTGGATAGTGATGGCGACAAGTTAGCTGCTGTTGAGCCGTTGGATGATTACAAAAGTGACGAGGGGTTTTATGATAACAGAGTATCTTTGTCACCCTCAGCACGCTTAACCCGTAATGACTTTGAGAATCAAGGTTGGAGTGCTTTGGAGAATGAGGATTTGAATTTAAACTTGGATTGCATGGAGATTCAGGACTCTCGCACCCCTTCGTTCTGTGCCCCCAACAGGGAACTGAAGATGTCTAAGAAGGTCGTCCCAGATAATTATCCCACTAGTGTTACAAAACTTTTGTCTACTGGGATTTTGGAAGGTGCCAGAGTTAAATATATTTCGATATCTGGCATGGTATGTGTATCTGGCATTAATGTTTTGTTAATGAGATGATTTTATTTGAGTTTTTTATGTTGGCATTGTCTTTTTTCCCTAATAGAACTTCTAAATGATTGCCAGAAGGAGATTCCAGCAATCATAAAGGATGGAGGTTACTTATGTGGTTGTTGCAGCTGCAATTTCAGTAAAGTAAGTCAGTGTCTGCATGTTGAACTGTCTACTTTATTCACAGGTGTATTTTTGTGCTAACAAATAGTTGTTTGAGCAGGTTGTTAGTGCTTATGAGTTTGAAATTCATGCTGGTGCCAAAACTAGGCATCCAAATCATCGTATATATTTGGAGAATGGGAAGCCTATCTACAGCATAATTGAAGAACTAAGGAATGCCTCTCTCAGTACAATTGATAGTGTTATAAAAGCTGTGGCAGGTTCTTCTGTAAATGAGGATTACCTCCGGGCCTGGAAAGGTAAAATGTCGATACAATTCTTGTTTATCTCAGGTTTTCTGACAATGGTACGATGACTTTAAGAAATGAGAAATGAGGTAATATGTGAAGATTAAAGTTTTGGAGTTCCCTTTTTTAGTCTTTCCATGCAAGGTGTAAACCCAATGAAAGTTTCTAGGCATTAGGCAGTAAAACTAAGTTGGCACTTTTGCTCGACATTGATTCGGCGAACACTCGTCCTCATATTTTATCATTGATTGAAAACAATTTAGATATGTGACATCTTAGGGTAAATAATGTTTCTTGTCTCAATTATCTGACAAAGTTACTTGAATTAACTAATTAAGTAATAATTTTGAAAAATAGTCAAATTAAATTACGGAAAGAGCCCTAATAGCTTTGGAATTCACAATTTTCAGACACTAAATCATACAAGACTGCTTGGTAGGTTCCTGTCGATTGCCTTGTAACCTTTGTTTCTATTTTTGTCCATTTTGTTATGGTGATGAAGCTCAGTAGTCTATTGTGTCTACTTCTCTCTGTCTGTTTAGTGCTGAATAAAAGTTTACTTGAAATTATGGTTATAGGGTTTTAGATGTTACAATAAGAACATAACAATTGNTTTTGCGACATTTAGCTCTCACTATTTCCAAATTGTTGCAGCAAATTTAGAAAATGGAAGTGATGTGGCCTATCCCAGCAGTGTATGTTTAGACAGGCATTTTGACATGTCTCAGTCCACCACCAGGTATAATTATCATTTTATATTTGGTTAATTTTTTGTTAAACACCTGCTGCACCGCTCGAGGCAAAAGATTTTACTTATAAATAAAGCAGAAGTGTGTCTCTCTTTTTCATCAAGTGTTGGTATCTGATTTGGAAGGAAAACAACGAATGTCTGACTCTAGCAACAGTTATATATCTGTATTGAAACTTAAAAGTCAGTCTTCTAGTAATACTTTTGGGTGGTTAAATTGCATCTCTAGGATTTTTATCATATTGTTAGCCACATTGCAGATGGTTTCTAATATTAGTTAAGTAGAAGGTTCTGTCCACTTACAAAAACTACTTCGTACGGTGCTGGGTTTCATAAGATTTTCTTAGCAGACTCGATGAGCTTGGTGCAACTTTTGATATATGTGTCTTTACCTATCTTCTAACATGATCTGTCGCATATCCCAGTTATTTTACTGAAGAGAGCCCCTATCTTGCTTCATGCCAGTATTCTCTTATAACTCCCTTCAGTCAGCCACGGTATATGGAGCCGCCAGTGGAGCAAAAGCGCCTGGTCAAGAAGTTTGTGCCCTCCCACCCTCATTCTCTATCATTATCTCTATCTTTATTCACACACACATGCGGGTTTCTAAGTTCAAACATCATGTGCAGGCCTAGGCAGAATAACTCATATTGGGAACAGAAGAAAGTTGGTGAAGGTGGCAACAAAAAGAGGCATGGTTTCTGTCTTCTGTACTTTTTTGTTGTCGATTGTGTTAGTTCTTTGTGTATTTTTTGCTATTATTATTATTATTATTATTATTTTTTCTGTACTTGGTGTCCCAGGAATGTTAATGGGTTAATAATGTATGCCAGGGATAATGATTTGCATAAACTACTTTTCATGCCTAATGGACTGCCTGATGGAACCGATGTGGCTTATTATTCTAAAGGGAAGGTTGTATCTCAGCCTGGTTAATTTAATTTACACGCTATTTTATTTCTTGCCAGTTGGTTAACTATGGTCAAATTCACGTCTTTTGCAGAGGATTCTTAAGGGTTACAAGCAGGGTAATGGTATAGTCTGCAGTTGTTGTAATTCTGAGGTAAGTCCATCTATCTGCATGTTTTGGTTTCTGATTCAAAAATTTAATCTATTGATGCGTTTTACATGATTTCATCTAACAGCTGCTGTATTTCTTCTGAACAGATAAGTCCATCGCAATTTGAGGCCCATGCTGGAGGAGCAGCGAAAAGGCAACCGTAAGTAGCTATTGAAATATAAAAGTTACTGCATATTCGGTTGAGAATCAGTGTAATGTGTGTTCGTTTTTGCAGTTATCGTCATATATATGCAGCCAGTGGGTTGACACTTCATGATATAGCCTTGATGTTAGCAAATGGCCAAAATATTAACTCCAGTGGCAGTGACGACATGTGTGCTGTATGTGGAGATAGGGGTGAACTTATGATATGCAACGGATGCCCTCGAGCTTTTCATGCTGGTAAATTTTCTTTTAGAACTTTTATTTCACTTACTAATTTTATAATGTTTCTGTCATGATTCTAGTTTTCAGTTTTTAACCCCTTATCTCAATTGTAAGATTGGTTTAGTTTGCTAAAATCCTTGTCAAAGGGCGGAAAGCGGAATGGCCATATGCAGTAAACAAATGACATACTTTAATTGCCATTTTACTTTTTCAGAACAAATGACTTTTGTTGGACATTGTATTCTGTCCACCGAGTATCGGGCTTTCTATATATACGTTTGTCCTGTTGTACTGTACTTGGAATTGATAATTTTCTTTAATTGATGTGCTTGTGGTTAGCTTTAACTTATCGTGATTGATTCACACTGTGAGATTGTTGCAGCTTGTTTAGGTTTACAGTGTCCCCCCAGCGGTGATTGGCATTGTCAATATTGCAAAGATAGATTTGGTCCTGGCAGGAAAGCATCTTCTGGGTCACGACATATTATTCTCAGGTTAAATAGAGTTGTCAAAGCACCAGAATTCGAGCCTGGTGGTTGTGTTATCTGCAGGTCAGTTGTGTAGGGTTGTAGTTAGTCTATATACTTTCTATGGTTGGTTTCCTTGTTTTGTGATTGCAAATGCTTTGCAGTCGATAAAAATTTGGAACAGATATGTTTCATTTCTCCTTTAAATGATTCTTGTTTCTTGTTTCTTTGGTATAGATCACAGGATTTCAGTGCAGTTAAGTTTGATGACAGGACAGTGATAATTTGCGATCAGGTATTGTTTTCTTATTTTCGTATCTTTTTTGATATTGCATCCAGGCCTATTAATCTGATTTCCGTGTTTTGGATGTACTATCTTTTTATTTCTGATACATCTGTTTTTCTAATTTTCTAGTGTGAAAAGGAGTATCATGTCGGTTGTCTGCGCGAGTTGGGATTGTGTGATTTGAAAGTAAGTGTCCGATGTATGTTTTACGCATCAAATATAGCTGGAATAGTCAGACATTTTTGTTATTAACATATGTTTTAATATGTGTTTTCCAGGAACTTCCTGAAGATAAATGGTTTTGTCGTGATGAATGCCATAAGATTTTTGAAGCACTTCAGAATTTGGCTTGCAGTGGTCCTGAGGTGATTCCAGCTTCAGTATTGGGCACAGTTTATGAGAAGCACGAAAAATTAGGTTTCAACACCACACATAAGAATGATATCCAGTGGTGTGTCTTAAATGGAAAAAGTCGCTTTCCCGAGCATATATTGCTGCTTTCTCGAGCTGCAGCTATCTTTCGTGTAAGTTCTTGTTGTGCAGACTGTACTGCTATCTTTTGTTAGTGCATACAGTAATTTGGAATTTTTAAGCGGAAAATATTGCTTAAGGGCACTTGTTTATCAAATAATTCATTCAAAATGAGTTATTTTGGTTAATCATAGTTAATTTTGGAAAAGGTGGTATGGTTAGTTGTTATTGGAATTTTAAGAATGTATTACAATAATATTTAAAATAAATGATTAAAATTGATTTGATGTAAAAGTAGGAGATAAATGATTGGAAATGATAGGTAGTTAAAATTATGTGCGTGCATGAATAGTGAATTAAAGTTGATGTGATGTGTAAGAATGATTAGTTTGTATTATTTAATTATATGAATAATATAAGGATAGTGGGGTTGAGTTAAAGTTGATTTTGAGTATGAAATAAATGCGAGTAAATTAATTTGTAAACAAGCAAGCACATTTATGACTGTGATGGTTTGTTATTATTGCTTCTTGAAATTATTACTTCTTTGTTGAATTGTAGAACTTATTTCTTGATCGTCTATGTAGGAATGCTTTGACCCTATTGTTGCCAAGTCTGGTCGAGATCTCATCCCAGTTATGGTTTATGGGTAAGTAATTAACCTTCCATTGGTGTGTGATTCCTGATAAACTGACGTAATTATTAGTATGCTTATAACTTCCCTTGTATTATTTTTTACAGGAGGAACATTTCTGGTCAAGAATTTAGTGGAATGTATTGTGTTGTTTTAATTGTACAGTAAGTAACATTGAATTCCCTCCATTTATTTATTTATTTATTCTCGTTGGTTTGTATCTGAAATCATTACACCCTCAAAATCTGCAAATTGGTGGTTTGCAGGTCAGTCGTTGTATCAGCTGCTCTTCTTAGGATATTTGGAAGAGATGTTGCTGAACTTCCTTTAGTGGCAACTAGTAGAGAAAATCAAGGAAAGGTAAACGTAAATCTAATTTATGGTACCTACTAGAATATTGGATGAGTATGTTAATCTAATCTACCCACAAAGAGGGAAAAAGAAATATATATAAAAATTGATCAGTGCAAACAATTGCTATCTATAGGGCTATTTCCAAGCTCTGTTTTCGTGCATTGAGAGGCTTCTTTCGTCTATGAGTGTGAAACACCTGGTCCTCCCTGCTGCTGAGGAAGCTGAACCTATGTGGACTAATAAGTTAGGTTTCAGAAAGACGAGCAGTGAACAAGTAAGTCCTGAAATCTCTTCGTGGACTTTTTATTGGTCTAGTGAAACTTTGGTTTCCATCAAAATGTGGATGCAAGTGGAAAATTACTAAGTGATCAGAAATAAGTTCAACCAGCTGCAAAATGGATAGTTTTTGGAATAAGCTGTTTGGATGTTTATGAGATGCGTGATATGAAGACTTTCACTGCCTTGTCCATGAATTTATTCCCACCTGAAATTTGTGATGGAAAATATTTTCTTGCAACATCAAATATTAATCCATATTTGTGGATTGTCATTTTTGCTTCAAATTGGAGATACGACCTCATAAATTATNAAGAAAAACAACTTCGTGCATTTAGTTTTATTTATTCATTTTTCTATTAATTAAAATGTCAACTGCTTGATTATTGAGAAATTTCCTGACTATTGGGCCTGTCATTTTAGCAGATGCTCAGGTACAGGGATTATCAGCTAACAGTCTTTAAGGGGACATCCTTGTTGGAAAAAGAGGTACAACAGTTGCAGGACTAATTCAGCAGATTGGGCCTACAGCAGATTGGGCCCTTTTAGACGAACCCGAGACATGAAACCCTGTCGGCAAAAGGGTGATATCTGGATATGAGTGGTTTTATAGCCATGGCTACTCTGGAATCTTAAATTAGCCACAAAAATCATCATTATGAAGTAAAACGAGTGTTAAAGGCATGATCTTTAAGGAGCCATATCTGTGATGTCGGTTATCAGAGAAGATGTTGACTTTTGAGGAGCATCACGTGTCGGTTTCAGAAGACCGAAGGATTTGAATTTGGATTTGGATTTTTCAGTTTTTGTAGAGTCCTTTCGGTTTTTGGCCTTCACTAATGGATTTAGTATTGCGTGATGGATATAGACAAAATAGTACAAATGTTACTTGGGAATTCACAGGCATGCTGTCGTTTTAAATTTGCATGCGTGACGAGCTTTCTTGTTATTTTTCCTCCTCAATTTGTTTTTCCTTGCTGAGAAGTGAAGAATATTTTTGGATATGATGGTTTGTGTAGAACGAGTATTTTGTCTAGTTTGTAATCTGACGGGAACAGTGTTTGATGGAATTAAATCGTAATGGAGTTTGTGCTGTGCTTTCAGGAGTTAAGATGTTAGTTCAACGAGGTCGTGACTTACTATTTTTTTTTTTTTTAAATGAAAGCGCTCTTCATTACTACGAAGAGATTGAATTATGTAGCAGGGGATGCACGATTTTAATTGGAATTTAGCTAATTTTAACAGAATCCAATTTGTGGCCTGTGGGTTCGTTTGCAGTTGAACATTCCAAATTTTGAATATTTCAAATTAAGGTGTACTCCCAAAGGCTTAAAATACACTATCAAAATCTTACAAATAAATAAAAAAAGAGGATATAATTAAGAAAAATTTGAGAGCACGTATATAAAAGACAGCTAGATTGAACGGGTTGAAAAAATGACCGCTCGATTGAAACCCATCCCACTCAATTTTGGTGGCCCTTTGCTCGTCGACCAGTGGATGGAGGCGAGGGACAGACGCTGCTGTCTCTGTGGCCGGCAGATGGCGGCATGTTTTGGAGCAGAGGCATGGAGAAGAGGTAAGATGACACTTAGTAATTTTTGCATCAATCAATGACGTTATAGTAACAAAACTTGTAAATTCAGGGGTAATATGGGCTTTGTACAGTGGCCTAGAGAGGTCACTGTACATATATTTCTTATATCACCACATCGGGCTGGATGCATTAGTTGTTGAAACGCGAGATTAACAACTTTTGGGTCGTGGGTCGTAATCTCTTGTCACAAATGCACGTTTACAGCAGCCCTGATGAAATAACAAGTATAAGAGACAACGAAATGTTTGCTAATCTCGACTTGGATGTGGAAATTACAACATAATGTACCTCAACCACAACATACACGAAAATTGACCATCAAGAGAACTATTTGCCCAAAAAAAGAAAAAAACGAATTGTACCTAGTATTCGTTTGGAATTTTTGAAGACTTTTTAAAGGGTGTATTCGTTTGGAATTTCAATGGCATTTTGAACTTTTTTATATTTTAGATATATTAAGATTTTCAAATTTAACAGGAATCCTGTGAAATCTTAAATTCATATGTGAGATTTGAAGTGGATTTTTGTATATGGTTTTTTGTTTTGAAATACCAACAAATCTAAAAAAGCCTTGATAAATTATTCTCTCAAACAAGTTAAATACCTCATGATCTTGTTGGACTTTTTAAAATTTCAAATGAATACGTTTAGACTTTTAAAAGTCTTAAAATGTCTAAATTAGACCAAGATTTATGAAGTCTTAAAAAGACTTTAGAGATCCTAGTGTATTTAATTTTGACTTTTTAAAATCTCGAGGTATCCATTTGAGAATCTTGATGTATTTCATTTATTTGATATTAGGATTTGTTAAAACTTTTAATTTTGATGGAATTTCAAAAGAAAAATCCATACATGAAAATTGACTTCAAATCTCATCTTCATACTTAATAATTAATATTTTATTGGATTCCTCATAAATTTGAAAATTTTAAAAATATCAAATTTCAAAAAGTCTTAAAATATCACTCAAAATCTAAACGAATACACTTCCATTAATTGTGGAGGTAAGATTTGGAGTGATGCTTGATGTTTTTTATTTTGAAATCTCATCAAATCTTAAAACATATAAAAATATCTCAGTCTCAAATAAGTTAAATAACTCATGATTTTGTAATACTTTTTAAAATCTGAAATGAACAACTTAAGACTTTTAAAAGTCTAAAACAAATACACAATAAATTTCGAAATCTTAAAAGGTCTTAGAAATCTCAAACGAATAAATCCCCCCAGGTCTAGAGGTGAGATTTGAAGTGAGGTTTCGTATGGTTATTTTTTTAAAAATCTCAACAAATCTTGAGAAGTCCAAATAAACCTCATACTCAAATAAGTTAAATAACTCGAAATTGTTATACTTTAAGATCTCCAATGAATCTCAAGGCTTTTAAAAATCTTAAAAAGTCATGAAAAGTACACCGTGATTTTTAAAATATTATAAATCTTTAAAAATCTCAAACAAATACACCCCTTAAAAAGAAACTTTATATATATACTAATGAATATTGTCTTGATCCGACGTATCGATTTCTTATGCTTCGTAATCATGTGAGTCGAATTGTGTCCATATCTAATGCTTCATAATCCTATGTATCGTAATTAAAATTTATGTGTCGAAGTCGTGTCGATTTGTAATACTTCGTAATCCAATATGATCCAAAAAGCAATATATGACAATGATTTTTTTTTTTTACTTCGTAATCCAATATGATCCAAAAAGCAATATATAACAATGATTTTTTTTTTAATAGTTGATCACCTTGATTTTTGTAAGATTTAAATTTTGAATTCAACTATCAGGTGATCAGTTACTTGAGAAAGGACAAATCTTGTATTTTGAAACACCATCTTTCTATCTATTTTCTAAAATATCTCGAACTTTTTTTTCCCTATTTTCTCATGCGCGTGACATGTCTTACTAATCATGTGGGGGGTCCTATTTCAATACATTCTTAAAGTCCATGTTGTAGCATATAAATACACCAGTTCTTTTATCAAACACACGCCACATTCTCTTGTTATGAAAAATACAAAAAACGATTGGTTTGCTCGAAATCATTAATCATTCCAGATTCTGCCAACAAAGCTCCAACATACAAATAAACGATCATTGAGTATCCAAAATAATAACAAAAGAAAGAAGTACAGAAGAAAATCCGCAGAAAACAATGTTGAAGCTAGCAAAAATATAGAGTAGTTTGTATTATCTCTAAGCTTTAATTCATATTCGTGTCAATTTTGTATGTCTGGTAATCATATATATTGAATTATGTTGATTCTTAATCATATATTTTTTTTTTTTTGATAATAACATTATATCATTCAATCAACCGTTCAACGATACAGTTTGAAAGAAAGGAGATAGAAAAGACGGGATACAATCCTTCCACAAGAAGGATCCCGTCGATCGGATAGCCCATTTAGCTAAACAATGAGCTATAACATTTTGCTCACGACTAACATCGCTACACTTTCCACAATTCAACAACTTCAACAGATTAACTATATCCGAAAAAACATTGTGCAAGGGATCATTTGGATGTTGGTCTGATATACCAAAAATGGTAGAAGCGGCATCAGTATTTGCGTTTTGAAGCGTAAACCCTGAATCCAATGCAAATCGAAGACCAAATCGGAAAGCCAATGCTTCCGCTGCTTCTGGGGAAAAGGATCCCGATTGTTGAGAGGCAAATGTCGCCCAGCACCGACCTTCCGAATCACATATCCAGCCACCAAAACCAATCGATACATCATTCACCGCAGCATCACAAAAAATAGAAAATCCGTTTTGACACGTACCTGGGCCACTCCAAGATTGTACCGATTTCGGATTGATTATTTGTTCAATACTGGGTGAGAATTGAGGCGCTGCTTTTATCTCTTCCAGCCATACGTTTCCGATAACCCAAATTTGTTCCGCACTCCTCGCCGATATGCCATGTTGAATGCGATTCCGCTCATTCCAAATCAGCCACATAAAAATTACAAACTCCGATATTTTGTTTCCTCGGTCTCCATCCAGAATTGTACATAAGATATGCTTGAAACTCTTACCTCGCAAACTAGCCAACACATTCCACCAACCGGCTATTTTCCACAATCTTTTAACCCAACCACATTCAAAGAACATGTGAACATTTGATTCCCAGGCTCCACACCTAACACATCTAGCTTCCACGCCAATAGATCTACGAGTCAAATTTTCGGAAGAAGGGAAAGCCAAATGACACAGTCTCCACATAAATATTTTAATTTTTGGTATTACCTTCATTTTCCATAACTCTTTCCACCATCGAGATGAGCTATTAGAACTCGATTCTTGAGGATCCGCTGATAAAGCTTTAAGAGCATGGTATGCACTCTTTATTTGGTTTGAAATAGTATAAATGGATTTCGCTAATATCCATGCCTAATAGGTATTTTAAATTTATAATACTTTGTCAACTTAAACTACAAATAAATTTTAAAAGTTGATAATATTGTATTTTATCATATTATCATATATGATATCAAATTAATCTTCTCATAACAAGTTTTGATTTGACATCTATGTTGCATATATAAATTAATATGTATATTTACCCTAAATTATATATCAATAATTGACAATTAAATAAATATTTATTAATAAAATAGATTTATCCATTAAATTTTTATATAATATGACTTACAAAAATTACTATAATAAGACTTAAAAAGTATAATAATACTATCAAGTGCTAAATGCCATTTTAAATTTAAATACATATTTTACCTTTGTAAGAATGATTTAAAATATTTTTTTTTAATAAATTTTAAATTTAGTTATGATATTTTATCAGCATAGTGTAACATGCGTGTGTGATTCGGAGTAGTTCATATAAATCTGGACTATATCAATACTTATTATGTCTTCTAAAATTATAAAACATCTAACTTGCTTAGATTATAAAAATGCTATTTTGTTCTCATATTTTCGTATATAATATATTAAATTAATTTTTTTGACAAGTTTCGATTTGATATCAATATTTCAATTTTATCTTTATTTATTCAAAGATAAATCATCTACTAATACTAATTAAAAACTAATAAAGCTATGATTATAAAAAGTTATTAAAATATAAGACAAACAAATTAAAAATCTCATTATATAAATAATAATGCAATTTTTTTAAAAGTATTCAAAATTTGAATAAAAAGAACTATCTCTTACTTTTTTTGATAATTAATATAAGTCTCATATCAAATCGTAGCTATTGAAACCATACATGTATCGAGTTTATAAATATCGATTAGCGAAAAAAATTAAGTCATCAAATTCGATCAATTTTTTTTTTTTTAAATTTATCAATTTTAAATCTACGTTGATTAATTGTTTTATCATTTATTAAAATAAATTTTATATGAGAAAGCCAACAAAAATTTAAGGAATAATATAAAATAAAAGCAATAATAAACATTGTTTAATGGTGTTTTGTCTACAAAATGAAAATTTTATTCAAATTTTTTAAAATTTCATGTTACCCGCCTTTTGGGAAAAGAAAAGGAAAAATTCACTCCCGCTTATTTTGTAAAACTTATACCTGATTGGTCCGTTTCACAGCACAAGGATCGATCAACTACCACTCACAACCGTCGATAAAAGTCCAATCTGACGCTCCAAATTCACCCACCATTTTATCCCCAACACGAACCCCGCAGTTATTTAAGCAGCAGCATAAAGCCTGCAATTTTGCACAATCCATTGTCACTGCTCTCTCTCATAGACTCCCACACACCAACAAAACCACAGTCGCTCTCACACTCAGAAATGGACCCCAACGCCAAAGTGAAGAAAGGAGCCGGAGGGAGGAAAGGCGGTGGCCCGAAGAAGAAGCCCGTTTCGAGATCCGTCAAGGCCGGTCTCCAGTTCCCGGTCGGCAGGATCGGCCGGTTTCTGAAGAAGGGACGCTATGCTCAGCGTGTGGGCACCGGCGCTCCGGTTTACATGGCCGCCGTGCTTGAGTACCTCGCCGCCGAGGTATTGTACTTCAATTACTGTGGTTTTGGTTTTTAACACCGTCCCCGATTAGGGTATTTTGAATCTGGTTAATGCATCTCTGTTGGGTTTCATATTTTTGTTTTGGGTTTTATTGTGATCTTGCTGATTAAATTTGGCAAATTTTCACAGCAAAAAGTTGCATTTTCTTTTCTTTTGTTCTTTTATTTCTTAGTTTATTTGTTTTGCACCAACCGTTAATGGGTTAATCTGTGGTTCAGGTTCTTGAGCTTGCTGGAAATGCTGCAAGGGACAACAAGAGGAACAGGATCATCCCAAGGCACTTGCTGTTGGCTGTGAGGAACGACGAGGAGCTCGGGAAGCTTTTGGCCGGAGTCACCATTGCCAACGGCGGAGTTATCCCCAACATCAACCCTGTTCTCCTGCCGAAGAAAACTGAGAAGGCTGCAGAGGCCGGAAAATCACCAAAGAAGGCAACCAAGTCTCCCAAGAAGGCTTAAATAGTAGTTTATTGGGATCTGTTTCGTTTTTCTAGGTTGTTTTTAGCTATCTGTATGTAGTTTGGGTTTGGGTTCTTTTGATGATATGTAGGTGGAGGCTTGATGAGTTGTGGGATTATAATCTCATGTTTTTGAAGTTGAATGAAAAATTAATTTGTGAAATTTCTAATGAATGGCTATTGTGATGTGAATTTAATTCTTCTGAATGGTTTTGATATTCTCAACAATGAAATGTGGATCCGTTTCCAAAAAAAAAAAATGTTTGAACATAGGAAAATTACAAAACAATATCTACAATAACAAAAGGAAATTGAAACTTATTTATATTTGGAATAGAAACTTATATTGTTTGAACTCTATGTTGTTACTTAGTTGATTGGATCGAAAGAACAATAAATAAAACCTTCAGTACGCCATTTTATGTCCAGTATAGAAATAATATTTGATAAAGTGAGTTATAGTTCCACATCCACATTCTGAATTTTATACCCCAAATGATATACCATAAACTTTTTTTCTTTTTTGTGTTACAAAACTTTAACTATCTTGTATTGGGTGTAATTCAAATTCTCTTTAGGAAATAGGTACTCATCTTTGGTAACATTCACAAAATATTATATTTCGATCAGCAACTTAAGAGTGTTCAAATTGCAGATAGGCTTAAGGTTTCATAACATTGTAGGCACAAATTTATGTTAATATATATTTTTTCATCTTTTATCTTTTATATGTTTACTAGTATTCGACTCTGTGAATTTGCACAGATTTAAATAAAATTAAATATTATAAGTTATATTTATGTATATAATATAAAAATTATAAGTTATATAATTGTATTATATTTCAAACATATAGTATTATAAGTTATATTTATGTATATAATATAAAAATTATAAGTTATATAATTGTATTATATTTTAAAATTTGATCATTGGTTAAAATAAATAGTACACACGATTTGATTGTATACGAATCACTATATTGATTGCATAAAATGCAAAAAATATATAATTTTTATAATTTTGAGTGATCATGACCAATTAATTATCTGAAAAATATTAAATTTATTATAACAATTGATTATGTGATTTTAAAAAATTTTACTATGACATAAAAAAAATTAATTTATTAATAATCGTCATAAAAAAATATTGATTTTAGTGTAAAATATAATTTTATGTAACTTTCATATATTATTTAGTATAAAATATAATTACTAATTTTAATATTAACTATTATATTATTCAATAAAAAATATAATTATTAATCAATTAACATAAAATATAATGGTTTTTGTCTTAATTAACTCAAAAAATGTAATGAAATATTTTCTTATTAATGAGATTGGGTGTATTAATGCCACATAAATAAAATTTATTAGGTTCTATTTGTTAGGTTTTATTAATGATTTGCCACATAGGTAAATTTATTAGGTAAAATTTATTGTTTAGCTAGCAATTATATATATATAGATTTTTAAAGGGGCACCAGTTTTTCATTATATTCCTTGTATAGGCATTTGGTTAAGTCAGTGTTTTTAACTTTTTATTTATGCTATATGAGCAAAAGGAGTCAATACGGGACAAAAAATGACAGGGGAATGTGCATCTGTGTTTCACTTGTTTTCCCATACAAGTTCCATCTTCCTTGTGTGAGTAGTGTGCACATGAGTTTTTCCTCCATTGGCTTATATTTGTTCACATGCACTCTTATATATGCGTGTGAAAAGTACTTGGAAACACTACTGACATAGGTAAGATAAATAAAACAATAAGTCAAATTAATATTTCTCATCATTAACAGGGCTTTATTTTAAGAACAGAAATTGAAACACCAAAACTATCATCAACTTTCATAATAAAACTCGTTCANAAAAAAAAAAAAAAAAAAATTCATAATAAACTAACATCAACATTCAGTATAGTATATTCTTTTATAATATATATTCGACCAGAAATTCTATGGCGTCCATACGGGCGCCATAAGCCATGCCACAATCTTATGTGTCATATGAGGTGGCTTTAATAATTTTAATTGTAATATCCAACATGGCATGAGGTGGATTTAAAAAAGATTTTCACTCAAAATCAGAATCCCTTCCTAAAACAAGATTTTAAACATTACCCACTTTTATTCACAATCGTCTTTACTGGGACAGCAACATCCTCTATGCCTTAAGTGTCAAGAACACCCCTAGAACACATCAAACTGGATCCAGCAGTCAAAGAAAATCCAGACTCCTGGAGCTCTAATTCAATTCTAAAATGCTCCATAATAATAATAATTCAAAATATCAAAACAACCCATAGGTTTGACTTATGAAATAGATTTCAGAACTTTTAATTTTCATTGTCAATTAACGAAATAAATTTATTCATATGATCAATTAGCCTAAAAAAAGGTTAGCAGCTAACCATCTATGATCAAGTTTTACTCAAACCAGCATATCAAATTCTTCTTTCAATAATATATATCTGAAAGTTTTACTCAAACCAGCATATCAAATTCTTCTTTCAATAATATATATCTGAAAGAGCTTTTATTATCAAAGCGTATCTTAAACCTTGTGCTAGGCTTTATTATCAAATAATCAGCCCTTTTGTGTATACCAACCTGGTGCTTGAGTTAAAGGAGGAGGACCAACGACGAGAAAACTCTGGCCGTGCCGAAGAGATTTTACGGTTGATTCTCAAAACTTTTATTTACTTTTTTAACAATTGTTATTTTATTCTTATGGATGCATCAGATATATGAATAGAACAATTCTAATAACGTAGGGATTTTTTGGGTAGAAAATCTTGTTTAAATCCACCTCATGCCATGTTGGATATTATAATTAAAATTATCAAAGCCCCATCACTCTTAAGCTTTTTTTTGAAGGCTCTTTCTATTCTCTTTCCAGTATGCTTCCTCCATAAAAAGACGAAAGGCCCTGTTTCGCAGAGGAGAGTCATTTCTCGGAGGGTTACTCGAATCTTTCGTTTTCCGATATATAGCCAGCTCGTCTCGTCATTCCGGCTTGTATCATAAGATTGTGGCATGACTTATGGCGCCCGTATGGGCGCCATAGAATTTCTGTATATTCGACAAAGTTTTTCTGTTCTGTTCCAGAAAGTGTTATCAGAATGTATCAAAATGTTTTTGTCGAATGAAATAGATCACTTACATGGAGCCCTGGATTGCTTCACAAGCCTTCGTGGCGGGAAGAAATTCATCCGCGACAACTTCTTTGTTCTCATTTTTCTTGTCTGTTAAATTGGCAATCGAAACTAAACAAGAATGAAAGAAAGAAACTCAGTAGATTAAATCTTGCCTTAAGAATGCAACCTGTTTGGCTGTTTCCAACGGACATTGTGGTTTAAAAGCTTAACACATCTTAACACTACCAAAGCAAGACAAAACTCAACTCCATCTTAGAATATCATTGCAATTTTTTTTTTTTTTTTTTTTTTTTTTTNTGTGAATGCATCATAAAATCCTGATAAAATATGCTGATTATTTTTCTGGGTTGATAATGCGCTTCAAGTTTAAAAGACAGTTATTGAGGAATCATTTTTCGACTCTGACTATTTCACTCCATGCTTTTCAAAGTAGTTGCTCTAGCTTCAGCCACTCAAATTTTCGATTTTCATTTTTATTTCTCATCAAACGGATGACATCTTCTTCTAGAAATCCTAGCTATACTTAGCATGATATTCGGAAATAACATTGCTATTACTCAAACAAGCATGAAACATATATTCGGGTCAAATCGGTACTCTTTATCTTCATCTTATGTCAATGTTCATGTTTGATACTAATGTCACGAATATCTTTTTAGTATATTTTTAGTACATATTTACGTTAGGTTAAACTTTTTAAGAGGACTAAAGTTTGGCTATATAAACTACAAAATCTAATTGGAATCAAAATTTGCCATCATTGGAGTTGTTGCATTGCCAATTGCAATCATGATTTAGATTTGATCTTCAAGCAAGGTTCCATGGGATAGGGTTGGCTAATAAATGGGAAGGATATATAAGGTACCAAATAAAGTTGTTAAACAAAATGAGTTGACGCGAGTTCGACTTAGCTAGACTCAATAAGGCTTGAAAATATAATGTTTTAATTTTTATATATGATTTTTAATATTAATAAGTGAGTCGAGCTTGAACTTGTTTATCGGCTTGATAAAGATTAAAGCTTGAAGCTCAAATCCGGCTCGATCCATTTACACATCTAGGCCTCTTTTACTAAAAATGATAGGGATATGGAGGGATTGGACACAATAATCCTTCCACTTGCCACATCAGATTCTGTCCACTATTTACTAGACATGATGCATATTTGTGCTTATCTAATCCTCTATTTACTATACATGATAAAACTGTTTAGGCAAAAAGCTGGTTCCAAAAATACCCTTCCATCTATGACTTCGTTTTCAGGCCATTTGCACAGAAAATCGAGAAAAAAACACAGAGTTCTGCCCTAAAATTTGATCCCTCGTTCGAAGCATTTGTGGAGCAAAAATTGAGGAGGTTATACGGCCATAGAAATGGCGAGTTCTGTTGTAGCATGTATCTTCTTTTGAACTGAGGTAGACTAACAAGATGGGAAAATTTAAAAAAAAAAAATCGCAACTCCAATTTTGCAGATCTATTACATCCAACAGTGAATTCGTTGTGGATTTGTTAATCGAGATCCGTCGACCACCCCGATTAAATTGACACCTGCGACTCTTAGAAGAGAGTCGAGAAAATAAAAAAAAAAATAAACGAAGAAGAAGAAGGTGAAATTACGGGAACTAGGGCAACATGAAAACGACGACGAGCATCTGTCCAATTTTCGGACACAATGATGAATTTTATAATTCCTATTTCCGTAATTTTCATGACATTGAGGGGTAGAATAGACATTTTACAGCCTCATTTTTGGACAAAATTGGAAACAAAATATGGGATAAATTTATCCGCCCAAAATGGCCTGACAGAATTAACCTGGCACGTCAGTTTAATGAGATGGGACCCACATGCCACACAGTCAACACATCAGCTATATCATAATCCCTAACCAACCTAGTAAAGGAATGATAAGGTTGGTTAACCAACCTTGTCCCATCCTATCACCTCTAGTAAACGAGGCCCTAGTGATAGGTGAACAATTCATGTTAATATATATTTTTTTTTCAATAAATTTATACACTTTTTATACTAAATTATCATGTTTTAAAAAATAATATAAATAACAATATAATTTTAATAATATAAGTATGCAATTGTATGATCTCCTAACAACGTTTGTGCTTCTAGAAAAAAATAAAAAAATACCATTATTAGAAGTGTTAATAATTCATGAATGAAACATTTACGATATGAAAAAATTATTGTTATATAAAGACCCATTCTAACATGAACTCTATTATAATTATAATTGTCCATCCCATATTTCCATCAATCATTGATTTACTTAAGCCAATAATTCAAAACGCAAAATAGAAAATGTAAACGAAAGCAACAGGCTCTTCCCTCCTCTTTTATCAATCCTTTATTTATTAGATCCCCTTTCATCCCTCACCTGCGATCTGGTATTTTCCCTATCCTTATTTTATTAATTTTCACCATCATTCAATTTTTGCAGTTTCGAATTTCAAATTCATGGTTTAACTAATCTCTTCACGTGTTTTTCTCTCGTTTTTGTTTGGATTTATTTGTGTGATTTGCTGCTGTTTGATAGGTTTGCTTTGATTTGATATAAGGAAAAAGAGCACAGAGCAAAGCAAATCAGATGGCAGCCCCTCCCGCCCGAGCTCGAGCTGATTACGATTATCTGATCAAACTCCTTTTGATAGGGGACAGCGGTGCGTTTTTTTTTTTTTTTGGGGNGTAATTGTTTTGATTATTATTGATTTGTGTTGTTGGTTTTATTTGGTAATGTTTCTCTTCTTTTAGATATGAAATGTTGCGAATCACCTGCATATGATGCCAAATGCTTGAAACGTTTAGGTATTCATCACTGTCATGGTAGGATTAATGTTCAAAAGGCAAAATATTTTGATTGCTTTTTCAATGGAGGCTTCATCCTGATGGGGAATCAAGTTTTCTCATGGTTTCATGTGAATGCGTGCGTCGTTTCAAGTTATTCGGCAAAAGCTCCGTATGATTATGTATTGTGTTTGAAGCCGTTGTAATTGTTTTAAGTTGAACAATAAAGTGATTTAATAATGAAGATCTCATTGGGGAATGGGTTTAGAACCAAAAGGGACGATTGGTGGAGTTTGATCAAATGTTAGGGGGTGAACTGTTTGAATTGCTTTTTGTTTGAAGAAAAAATTATAACGCTATTGTAACCTAAAGGGTTTCTTCGTGATAAGCCCACACCATATTTAAAACTTTTCAAGAAGAATTACATTTGACTCTCAGTCCGTACGAGTTTTCGTAGAGCATATGGTTAGACTTTGAGGTAATTTGAGTAAATAGCTCTGTAATGTAAATTGATTCTCTCAGGTTGTGTTTCACGTGTTAGGCTTTGTCGTAGGTAATATACTAATATAATTCAAATGGATTATGAGACTGTCGGTTTTTCTTAACCTAGATATTGATCCCCTCCATTATTTTAGACTCTAAATATTTAATAACAAGAAACTGAAAAGTGAGTTTATCTTATGCTGGATGTGCATTAATCTTAATTTCATGTGCTACACAGCTCATTATTTGTAGTTTCACTCTGCTTTATGATACATATTGTTATGTTTATTTGAAATTTAAATTTTACTTGACTGAAGTTGAAGTTGTCATCATTTTTGTTTTTTCAAACGTTTTTCTTCAGGTGTGGGTAAGAGTTGCCTTCTTTTACGATTTTCCGATGGATCCTTCACCACCAGTTTTATTACTACCATTGGGTCAGTTAATTTAGTTATAATCACCTAACACCAGTTGAACTTTCTAAACATTGTTATTATCTTGCTTACGTAATACCATTTTCTCATACAGGATTGATTTCAAGATAAGAACTGTAGAGCTTGACGGGAAGAGAATTAAACTACAGATCTGGGATACTGCTGGACAAGAGCGATTCCGGACAATCACAACTGGTATGTTTCTGACCGATGCTAGGAATCTGCTTCTTTCTTACATCTTGTTTTTAAGGATCTAAGATAGATTGGTGCTCAGTCTGAGTTTATGAATTGCCGATAAATTGCACGTTTCACGTTTACATTCAAGCTTCATATGGAAATTTATAGAGTTGGGGTATCTCTTGGCCATGAATAGAGAAAAACGAGTTTATATGTAATCAAGTTACAGGTTGTTATGTACTTGGAAGAAAGAAAAGGCATGACTAGAAGTTTCTAAGGCCTCCTTATTTTAGATGTCTGCTCCGTACATAGCGAAATACTTAGTCTGGAAGCATGTATTAATGCACTCAGTATAATAGTGTTAGGAGTTGATTATACTGCCTGATATTCTGAAAAAACCACATGCTATTTTCTCTTGCTCAGGTATCATCTTTTTCATCTCTTATTCCTTTGTTCTCCATCATCTGAAGCCTTTTACATCTCTTCCGTCTGTCCTCTCCTTTCTGTTCCCTTCTCTGTTTGTTCCTGTCTTTTTCTTTCCTTTTATTTTATTTTTTAATAATTTCCCCCTTCCATTGGTTAGACGCGTAAAATTTGTTTTGAGGAAAATGTGTCGAACTAATCTGTTGGTAAATGTATGTTCAGTGTAATTACACTGGTGGTTTTTAGTAATTTAAATTATACTAATGTAAACAAGTTCCTCTGTGGATGCTTTACTGCATATGGAACTGCATTTTTTTGCCATCTTCCTTCCTTTCAGATGCCCATAAATGTAAATCTCAAATTTTGGTTGTTTGTCTAAGTATATATTTCTCTCTTGCAGCTTACTACCGGGGAGCAATGGGTATATTGCTAGTGTATGATGTCACTGACGAGTCATCTTTCAACAGTAATTGCTCGTGATCCTTATTTAATTTCTGTATCACACATGATAAAAAAATCTTTTCATTATTATTATATATATTCAGGCTTTCTGTTATCTATACGACTGTTTTCCTTAGGCATCAATCAACTTTTAACTGTACAGCAATATATTGTTGTTCAGTGTGATCATTTCCTTTTTTGCAGACATTAGGAATTGGATGTTTCTGTTATCTATACGACTGTTTTCCTTAGGCATCAATCAACTTTTAACTGTACAGCAATATATTGTTGTTCAGTGTGATCATTTCCTTTTTTGCAGACATTAGGAATTGGATCAGAAACATCGAACAACATGCATCTGACAATGTCAACAAGATACTGGTCGGCAACAAGGCCGACATGGATGAAAGCAAAAGGGTATACTTTCATTTTCCTCTTGGAAAAATGTGTTGCGTAATGAGCTCTCACTAATTGGTCGAACATCTGTAGGCTGTTCCCACATCAAAAGGTCAAGCGCTAGCAGATGAATACGGAATCAAATTCTTCGAGACAGTAAGTACTATTACTCTCATAGTATGGATTTTAAGGTCCAAACTAGGGCTGCAAATGAGTCGTGCATGGACCTTGTCGTGCGTAGATCGAACTTTTTTCTTCACTGCTCGAGCTCGACGAGCCATGTAAAATGCTGCTTGACTCGATTCGTGAAAAAAATAAGAATGCTCAAGCTACGCTTGATGCTCGACATGACTCGAGTTCGGCTCAAAATTTTAACAACTAAATTTTAAATATAAATGTACTATTTTTTAATCTAATTAGATAATTTTGACCATGGTGTTCTAATATTGATAATTAAACCATATGGGGTGTTTGTCACTTGTGTAAATAAAAAGTCGAGCGATTTGTCGAGCTTACGAGCCTCCTGAATTGATGCTCGAGGCTCGATTCAACTGCTTGACTCGAGCGCTCGCGAGCGGCTCGACTCGTTTGCAGCCATAGTCCGAACACATTTCATTCTAAATCATGTCGTGTTAAACAGAGTGCCAAGACAAACATGAACGTGGAGGAGGTTTTCTTCTCAATCGCCAAGGACATAAAGCAAAGACTTGCCGAAACCGACTCAAAGGCCGAGGTATTGATTTATGGTCTGCTCACACGTGCTTTAATCATACGCATCTGTTGTGTGTGCGTGTGTGTGTGTGTGTGTGATATCGAGATTATTTAATGTGTTTTTCCATGGCAGCAGCCTCAAACTATAAGAATTGCACAAAACGACCAGTCAGGAGGGGCTGCCCAAGCTGCCAAAGGATCAGCTTGCTGTGGTTCTTAATCGTTGAAGTTAGGAGGGGCGATGGGGACATCCATTAAAATTGACCACTTATTAGTCTTTTATTATGACGATATATGTTTGCGTTGCTTGTATTGTTTAATTTTAACCCCTCTTTGTTTTTCACTAGATGCTACGTAGTTTGTGTCGGTGAAAAGATTTTTTATAAGACGAATTAATCAATATATTGATATTCCTTATTTCTATACTCCTTTTCCCCCTTTTTGTATGAATGAAGTGTGTTTGAATCTTAAAAGCTGTCGGAAAAATTGCACCATTCGTCCACTAATTATACCCAAGTTGTACTTTCGTCCTTTAATTATTATTTTTTTTACTTTTGGTACACTATCATTTATTTTTTGGCAATTTTCGTCCAAATCGAGGTTCCGGTGCTCATTTTTGCCGGAAAAGCTGATGTGGCACCGGAAAAGCTGATGTGGCGCACAATCCGACTGGGCGCCACATCAGCTTTCCGGCAAAAATGAGCACCGGAACCTCGATTTGGACNTTGGATATTTTGGTTTTGTTTGGTTAATTTTGAAAAAAATTGTATGGTTAGTTGTTAGTGGGTATATTAAAATAATATTTAAAATAAAATAATTTAATTGATTTGATATAAAAGTTTGAGAGATTATGATTGAAGTGATGGTTATTTAAAATAATGTGAGTGGATGAATAGTGAATTAAGGTTGATGTGGTGTGTATGAATGATTGATTGATATTATTTAATTATATTAATAATATTGATGATAGTGGGATTGAGTTAAAGTTGGGTTAAAAAAAGTGATTGAGTTAAAATGTTGGAATTTTTTTAAAAAATTTTCATAAACAAACATGCTCACTATTGTGGTCTTGTTTTTTTTAGATTAATTACTGAATGCAGATTATTGGAACTGATGAATTACTACTTTTATCAGATCTTCCTTAACGGACATCAGTTGCTCACCGAGTTTTCTTTGATTGAATTTAGGAATGTTTTTAGACTACTTATAAAATTATATGGTCATGTTTGGTAAGTAGTATTTTGAGGCTAAATTACAAGTTTGGGGTGAAAAGTGTTTGAAGTGTTTATTAAATCAATAATTTATTGTCATTCCTTGTCTGCTGATTCTATCAACTGTCCACGAGTCAAAAGTTAAAACAAACTAGTTTTAACCCGTGCATTTGCACGGAAATTATATGACAGAAGAAAGAATGATAAAAAATACAACCAATAGTAAAAATCATAAAAGAATCATTGGAATGAAAGACGTTTAATAAAGAAAATATAAATATTATTAACTGCTTCTTTATATACAACTTTCGTAGTTTTTTCTATCATAAATATTTTCATCACCACAAAATCATTATCTTCAAACTCCCCCAACTTGTAACTTTGGAAAGCACCACGTACAATCGCTTGTGACTAAATACAAGGCTCTTCACCACAAATCATCTCTTATAATAACATACACACTTAATAATTATATAAAATATATAAACAATAAATTAAAAATATATACCAGGTTCTTGAATGATTGAACGCAAATTTTCAGGGACTGACGGTGTTTGGAACGATGGTGTTACCGTAGACAAATCAGATAATGTACCTACATTAATTAAATTGATAAAGTTAAATTTAAAATAAAATATTTAGAAATTTTATAATGTCAAACTTAATATTTTAAACATTTGTGAAAAAATAAATTGAGCAAATACAAAACATTCAAGTTTTTAATACACCAATCAGTATTAAATTTACACATATAATGCTTTTACTTGTTTAAATGATTATATTTTTCATTACAAATGTTTCAGGTCATTTTTTTTTAATAATTTTATCACTATATATTGTATTAAATAATTTTGGGCCAAAAAGTTAAAAAATCTGAGCCCATTTCGAATTGTTGTAAAGCAGGAATATTGGGCCATTATTACAAAAGTTTTGTATTAAAATTAGTTATTGGGCTGTATTTTTAAAAATTAAAATTTAGCCCAATTAAAAGCCCAAATTTTGAGCCTGTGTAAGACAATTATGTCGAGTGAAATGGGTCCTTAATTTGACACGTAGGAGCTGAGTTTGATTATACATGTATTAGAGTGACACGTGCCTAGCAATTGCGTATAAAATTGGAGAAACCCTAAATTGCGAGGATGTCTCGCCATTTTGACCGCCTCATATCGACGCATCTCTCTCCCAAATTCTCTCCATCTCAAACCCTATCTCCAGCCTTTCATAAATGAATATTGTTGAGAATCTAGCCGAAAAAATTGTTTTTGCCGGTGATTGTTTTCCATTTGATAAGGAAAAACATCCAAAAAATGTTTTTTTCTAGAAAAAAGAGATATCGAAAAAGTGAAATCGGCCCGATTTATGAAATCGGTTTACTAAACTATAGTATCTTGGTTCAAATCGGGCGATTACATTATAGTCTACGAAGATCTGCAGTTTTTACATTGTCTTCTTTTTAATTTTTTTAAAAAATTATTTTACGTTTGTATTTTTAGTGATTTATGGTGTTTTCGAAAAATGTTTATATTCATGTTATAAGATTTTCGATGTTTTTATTTTAATTTATAAGGTTATAAGCAGTTTTTTTACCCTTTTTGTTCGAATTATTAAAAAGTTTTGTAAGTTGTAAGCAGATGTGCTAAAATTTGAAGAGGATTAAGGAGTCCTTTGTTTTTTAACTGAAAAATGTAAATACATCTGTAGAAAATCGATTTTTTTTCTCGCAATAATGTAGATCTCTGATTAGCATTTCAAATGTAGACTCTTTTGTTTTCGTATAAATTTATATTAAATTTTAATCAATGAAATGTTCTAATTCGATGTATAATTTTAAACTGCACTTGTGTACATATGTCTTGCAGCTTATCACTGGGATTAATTGAAATGTTGCAAAATGTGGCCTGAGATTTGAGAACCGTGGTAAGCGCAACATAGTTAAAGTTTGTGAAAGGAAATATGTATCAGCTTATTTTTATGACTTCTAGAGCAGCGTTTAATCTTGCCTGTTTGTGCCGCTGCCCAAAACCATCATTTGATTCTGAAATGTAGATTAAAACTACCTCTGGGCTATGTCCAAATTGAGCACAATTTCATTTTTTTAACTGAAAATAGTCCTAGTCATGATTTTACGTATGTCTTGGTTTATGATTTTTAAGTAAAACAATATAATGCATACAAAGTGCATGTATTTTCTTAAATAAATTTGTAGTTGGAGATTCATTCAAGTTTAGAATTATCCATTGAAGGATGATGTGTTTGTCTGCCAATAAAATGCAATTCAAGTAATTTCAAAGTAGTTTCTCGCAATTTAAGAATCATTAAAGTGAGGATGATATATATCCTGTTGAGTATGAAAACCACAAATAGTTTTATGTTGATGTAAAACTATAAAAACTGATCTTAATTACTTTGTAGTATTTCTCTTATAAAATATATAATCAAATTTCATTTGGCTGAACTTTTTTTGAAAATTGATATTGAGATTAACCAACTGTTACTTATGCAGGGTTGCTCCCTTTTTTAGTGTGTCTACTGGTTTGCTCGTTTGATGATGACTGTAGAATGTTTTGAGGTACTGTTTTCCCAATCCATTTGTTTTTATACTTGTTGTTTCTAGTTGTTTTACCCAATAGTAGCTTTTGTTCTTATATGCTTTACTCCATGGTGCCTTGTTATATCTGAATTTTTTATTCTAAGGGTTATATGTTTGTTTATAGCTTAAATCTAAATATTGTTATATGTCTCCCAGTTTATTTTTAATGATCTGCCTTTATAAATATGAATTTTATACTGCCTTAGTTTTTAGAAAGTTTACATTTAACTTTATTTTAAAAAATACAACAATTATATGGTTTTTATTGACTTCTGATTTAATTGAAAATTATGTCAGAAAATAAAAAGCAGAAATATGTCGTACATCTTCTGTTATACTCTTTTTAAAACAAAGTTATGGATTCTAATTATTGTTTTTCCTTCACTTTATCAAAGTGTTATTTATCTAAGAAAAAGATTTCACTTGATGAACTACAAATGGATAATTTTTTGTTGATCTTATCCTGGCTGATAAGATTAAGTAAACTTTGTAATTAGTATCCAATATTAATATATAAGATTTTTAACAATTATTGTTTATATGTAGATAAAACAAAATGGAAAAGGCAACACAGATGTAGAAGAAAAGAAACAACATATAAAGAAAAAGGTAATTCTTTCTTATAGAATTTCAAAGAACCCTAAGATACACATCCATTAGTATACCATTTGGAGTACTATCTTGCTTGCGTCTTTTGTTGCCCAATAGGCTATACCCGCTGCTCAATCTCTTCATGTTGTTTGGATTATGTGCTGAAGTCTGCTTTGTATGCTGCATTTTACATGTAATACAGTAGATAAAATGCAAGATTATATGCTTGCGTTTTTTGGGATAATAAAGTAGATAAAATGGAAAAGTGCTTTGCAGAAGGTTTTGTTTGTATGCTGTGTTTTTCGGATAAAAAGAATGACTAAAATTTTTGGGAGTTTATATAGAAATCGTGCATCTATATATATTTACTATATTAATGGCAATTGTTAGTTTTAATTAACATTATTGACCTAATGACTTATATTTGGTAGGTCTAGAAAACTGATATTTTTAACATGCTGTAAAAGAGTTGCGTGAATCATGGATTTTGATCTGTTCATATTAGTGGTTTAAAATAACTTTTTGATATCAATGTGTGTTGATTTTCTGTAATAAAATTAATTAATTATTGTTTGGTGAAGCTGTATTTCGTTGTCCTGTGTTAATTTTTGTTGATTTTTTGGAAAAAACTGAGAATTGTGTTTTTTTTTTTCGGCAGTTTAAATACTGTGTGTTATTTAATATTAATTAGCATATTTAAAATGTGAAATAATCATGGATATTATTTTAATAATTAAGTTTACATAATGACTTTTATTTTTCAGATTACTACTTTTTAATTATTAGAGTTATGAAATGTGCATGAAATATGGGAGATATTGATGCTTTCGACCAAAAATACTTCAATTTTTTCAATTTCATTTTCCCGTCTCCTATTTTGAGATTTGGAAATGTTGGATAAAAATGTAATTATCTAAAAGTCTTATTCTAGAATTTTTTGTAATTTCATTTTCCCGCCTCATATTTTGAGATTTGGAACTTTAATTTGATAATTATAATTAATCTGTTTGGTGGTATACTAAATGTTAATATTTAACTTTTTTTTTTTTGCAGGAATTCCACACACTACTAAGGAGAAGGAGCTTCTGAAATTTTTATTTATTTTTAATTTGTTTTTATGGTGGGTTGTATTTTCTGATATTTTATTTTTTATTTGTTCATTAATTTCTTTTAATTTACTACGCATAATAAAAATAAATATTTTAATTATAATTATTGTGAGATTAAAAAAATGATTATTGATAATTGTGCAGACTAATTAAATGTTTAATAAAATATGGGAACATTTTCAGTAACTCGTAATAATGGTGGAATTGATTTGTTTCCAATTTTAACAGTCAACTCTTCCCCAGCATTGATCTGTTTTTGCATAAAGAAACTAAAAAAAGAAAAATAAATAAAAAGTAACAGAAATTGGCGGGAAACGAAAAAAATGCCAGCTAGGTAAAATTTATTAGGTTTTCTTAAATGTTGTTAGTCAGTAATTATATATATATAGATAAGAATTTGAAGTGTTCATTAAAATTCAAATAACTGTCCACGGAATCAAAAGTTAACGGTTTATAAATTATTTCATTCTCATTCAATTCATACTCAAAATCTAACTCAACTTTAACTCAAGCACACTATCTTTAATATTATTCATATAATTAAATTATACAAATCAATCATTCTTACACATCACATCAACTTTAATTCACTATTTATCTACTCACATAATTTTAACTACCTATCATTTCCAATCATTTATCTCCTACTTTTACATCAAATTAATTTTAATAATTTTATTTTAAATATTATTTTAATACATTTTTAAAATTCCACTAACAACTAACCATACTACATTTTTCAAAATTAACTATGGTTAACCAAAATAACTCATTTTCAATAAATTATTCCATAAACAAGTGCCCCTAAACAAATAAATAAGTAATTGAAGTATTCATTAAACCAGTGATCGACGTTATTAGTCCACAGAGTCAAAATGTTTATTAAATCAGCAATTGAAGTGTTCATTAAACCGTCAACTATCCACCGTTTTCATTCACTGGAGTTCAATCAAATATCTACGAAGTTCCCATCCCATCAACTATCCACGAGACGACGTTCATTAACTGGAATTCAATTAACTATCCACGAAGTGTTTAGTGTTCATTCACTGTCGGGAAAAAATAAACGAGATACTCTCTCGTAAAACACACAAAACTCACAATATCTGATTCAATATCCAAATTCACCAAGTAACAATAAAGGAGGAGAGTCCTTTATATAAGACTCTCAAAACTAGTAACCCTAACATGTTCCCTAAGCTAACTACTAATTATTAAATCATAATAATAATAATAATAATAATAATAATAATAATAATAATAATAATAATAATAATAATAATAATAATTCTACACCATTCTCCCCCAGTTCGGAAGGCTTCGCCCTCGAAGTCGACGCGCTCCCGTGGCTGGTGTGGAGGCGAACCCATGGTAATAATCCCCGTCGTTTTCCCCTGTCGAGAAGGTTGAATGTCGCACCTCTATGGTATCACCCCCTTGAAATTCATAGAAAGGCATATATGCAACAGCCACACACAGAATTTTGAAGTCATTGTGGTGACCAAAAAACAACATCTGTTTGCAAGGCCGCAACAAATTCCCGTAAGAGAAAAGCTCGGGCCTATGCAACAAAAGAAATACCAATTCTTCCAACAGCTGAATTTTGATACTCGGAACATGATGGAATTCCTCCGGTCCCGGAGGCTCCTCATCGAAAATCAGCGGACCGTCGCAGAGACCGTCCTCTTCGCCGGTAAGACGCTCCTCCACCTCCTCGGGTCCTTCATCAAGCACCGGCGGACCATCGTACAATGGCCCGTCAAATTGTTCTCCTTCGAATTCTGGGATGTCAATGCGAAACGGGCCCTCCCATCGACCATATTCGCGATCAAATTCCTAATCGTGTCGGGCACGATATCCGCTGGCGAAGGCAGCCTCCTCGCGCCTGCCTTTGTCGCCGTGTTGATCGTTGCCGTCCACGAAGATCGGGCCCCGTTGCCGCATGTCATGGCCGCCGTATACAGCGAAAGGGTCAGCCTCGACGTGCAGGGGTGGATAATCGCCAAAGGGATTCACCTCCGAGATTGCCTCCTCGCCGTCTTCGTCACCGAACGGTGGTTGTGGAGATCTCCAGTGGGGCGCCCCGCCTGAACCACGTCCTCCACGAACTCCCCCGCGCACGCCCCGATTGCCGGCGTCACGGTTCGTCTGCAAATCCTCAACCAGGTTGTTGATCGTAAGACGTACTTCTTTGATCCCCGTCGAAAGATCATCAACCCGACGTTCCAATTGATTGATCTGGCGGTCAAAGCCCGTGGCTCGTCGACCCAGATATTCAATGGTGGCGTCACGTCCGTTGATGTAGTCCTTTCGCGGCGGCAGCGGCATCTTGAATCGTGCTGACTTCTGATACCAACTGATGTAGGGAAGTGTGCGAGTGAGAAAGAATAAACGAGATACTCTCTCGTAAAACACACAAAACTCACAAATTATTTGATTCAATCTTAAAATTCACCAAATAACAATAAAGCAGGAGAGTCCTTTATATAAGACTCTCAAAACTAATAACCCTAACTTGTTCTCTAAGCTAACTACTAATTATTAAATAATAATAATAATAATAATAATAATAATGATAATAATAATAATTATTCTACACCACGAAGTGTTAGTCTTCATTCACTATCATCATCTAATTCTTCACTCATGACTCATCTAATTCAATCAGTTCACGAAATATCGAATAATGCCACTACATCTATACATTACACCAGTTAATATTTAATTTATCAAATAGTTTATGCCCGCCATTAACAATCTCCGCCATCATTTAAATAAGACAACCGCACACTGACGACAAAGCACCTCCCATAACCATTTGCTCACCTATCCTCCATTAGTCACGCCTTTGACTCTAGTTGTTGAATTTTTTGGTTCCTGAGGGAAAAAAAATAGGTTTAGGTTTGGCGGAGATTTTTTTTTAATCAAAATTAAAAACTAAAATAGCCCAACATTTGAGAGGGTAGCTTTTTTAGGTCAAGTGGTGGACAAATGTGGGTGGACTTACGGTGGCGACACGGTGGTGGGTGGCTTGTGGGGTTCACTCACCGCTCACCGCGCATTATAGCACCGTTGCCCAATCTCTTTTTCAATTTCACTNTTCCTTTTTCTTATTCACATACTCCATTCGCCTCTATACTATCTGTGTTTTTACACTTTTACTCAACTCACCGTTTAGATTCGGTAGCGACTGCAACATGTCTTCAGCCGTAACCGCCGTCGCCGCCGCCGCCGACGATGCCGCCGCGGCGTCGGCCGCCGAGAAGAAGCCGCCGCCGAGGAGGTTCCCGCCGCCGTGCTGGACGCAGGAGGAGACCCTGGTGCTGATCGGCGCGTACCGCGACCGGTGGTACGCCGCCCGCCGCGGCTACCTCCGCACAGCGGACTGGGACGCGGTCGCCGCGGCGGTGGCGGAGCGCTGCCCCGGTACATCCCCGCCGAAAACCTCCGCTCAGTGCCGCCACAAGATGGAGAAGCTCCGGCAGCGCTACCGCGCAGAGAAGCAGCGGGCGGCCCTCGCCTTCCCGTGTCCCCCTGGCCGGAACTCCTCGCCGTGGTTCTTCTTCGAGAACATGGATGCTATGGAGAACGGCACGGCGCCTCCGGAGACGGGGCGGAAGCCGGAGGATCCGCCCGACGGATCTCAGCTGAACTCCACGCATCTGGAGCAAAATCTACTGAAATTCAAGCTCAAGGCAGCAAATAACCCGGAATCCAGCCCGGAATCAGGACTGAGACTAAGTTCATCTTACTTCGACACGGAAATCACCGGCAGAGACGAGCAAGGCACGCCCGATTTCACAAACCGCGCACCGAAAATCCACCCGACGAACAGAATTCCGATCGCCATCCCTCAGTTGAGGTCGGTATCGAAGAATCCCGGCGAACTGTTCGCCGACCTCGCCGCCGCCGGCGGATTTTACCAACAGATGCTACCTCCAGTATTCAGAACAAACCAATTCCGATCCGATTACAGTCCACCAAACAACAACAACAACAACAATTTTGCAGATCCAAGCAAGAGAGCAAGCTACTGGTCAAACACAAACCCGAATTCGGATCCTCGACCTGCCACCCGCGGATCCAAAAGGGGGAGAGAAAGAGATGGGCTAGCTAAGATCGTGGAGTCTATCAAGCTGGTGGGCGAGGGGTTTTTGAGAGTGGAGAGAGAGAAAATGGCCATGGCGAGAGAGATCGAGGGGATGCGCATGGAGATGGAGATGAAAAGGAACCAAATGCTGCTTGAATCTCAGAGGGAGATTGTGGAGGCTTTTCGCAGGGGGATGTTTGAGCTGAAGAAGATGAAGAAGGAGGTGGGATCCGGTGGGGAGGCAGGTGCAGGTGAGCCGTAATTTGGGGAATACTGTTTTGTTATTATTTATTTATTTTTTCAAGTGAAAAAATGTAGTGGTGGTGACTGTTGGGGAGTTGATGAGGTAGGACTTTGATCTCAAATTTGTAAGATTATTGTGTTTGTATTCTAATAAGTAAATAAAGAGAAAGCCCTAGATATTCCCGTATGTATTTGCTAATGAAAAAAACTAGTTCTATGGTTTTACAACTTTAGATAGATGAGTATATTATGTGAACGGTTGGATATACGGTTAATATATAATGCTCGTTCTTTATATATTGAATAATTTGATCAACGCTTCATTAGAAATTTGTTTTAAAATAAAACTTTTGGAAATAATTTTGTTGTCTATAGTTCTATAGTTCTATCTTTGTCTCCCGGTTATATTTTAATTAAAAGGAAAATTATTATTTTAAATATGTTCTATACTGAAATAATGGTTGTGTATCATGAAATATGAAAAATTAAATTAGATAGTTGGATTCATGTAGTTGAGGAAGGCCTGAGTGTTAGTTTCCCAGTACCAAAGTCACTACTATTCTGAAAACAAAGATAATAAGATGTTTAAATTAATATTATGACTCAAAATTATTCAAATGGCATGTTTGTTTATAATTTTTTTTTTCTATTGCCTTTTTTATTAATTATAATTAATTTTAAAAAAGTTGAATGAGTTAAGTTTGAGTGGAATTATGAGTTTGTATTAAAATAATATTTAAAATAAAATGATTAGAGTTGATTTGATATAAAAGTAGGAGATAAGTGATTGAAAATGATTGGGAGTTAAAATTATGTGAATGAATGAACGGTAAATTAAAATTGATGTGGTGTGTATAGATGATTGATTTATATTATTTAACTATATTAATAAAATATAAGATAATGAGATTGAGTTAGATTTTAGTTAAGATAGAAAAGAGTAAGAACCAAATGACTCACCAGAAAAGGAGAACCAAAATCATTGAACCGGTAAGGGGGTGATTGGATATGAATTCAACTAGTAAAAATCTAGTTTTTTTTAACTATAGTTAAGTTTGAAAAAAAAGTAGTATGGTTAGTTGTTAGTGGATATATTAAAATGGTATTTAAAATAAAATAATGGGTTAATTGCAATTAAAATCACAATTTTTTGCTTAATTGCAAATAAAACTCAACATTTTTAATTTGGCATAAAAATACCAAACCTTTATTAACTGTTGCAATTTTGTCTCGAAAGCAAATTCCGGCCAAGCGACGCTGACATGGCAGTCTAAAAAATGACGTGGAACCAAATCACTTTTTCTTTTATTTTTCCTTTTTCTTTTCCCTTCTTTTCTTCTCTATTCCCGTCACTTTCTTTCTTCTTTTCCAGATCCCCAATTCTCTCCTATTCCCAAATTCTTCTTTTTCCTTCCTCAAATTCTCGAATTCCATTCTTCTTCTCCACGCCCTCGCTCAGAGCTCCCGACAACCGTCGTCCGCGGCCAGAGGTGGCGGCCTGAACTGGAAACACAAGGCCGTGACCTCGCGGAGTGCGTCGACGATGGAAACACAAGGCCGAGAGCAGAGAGAAAGGATTTAAGTGGCGATTTTTTTTATCTGGATTTCGAGAGCTTGGAGAGGGTGAGGAGTGAGAGAGTTTCATAATTTTCCTATGGCTAGGGGAGAGCAGATGTTGTGTGAAAATAATGTGAGGGAAGGGAGAAAATCATCGCTAATAAGAGGGAAATAATGGGGCAATCAAGGTGATGTTAATTCTAAAATTAATACACTTAAATGGCTCCTTTTGGGAAAAAATCGGAAGGGGCTGGTTAATCCATTCCAAGAATAAATCGGAAGGGGCTGGAGGAGAGCAGAACCAGGCGGCGGCTAGCGACGTGCGGCAGCCGCAGAAGGAGAACAGATTGGAATAATTTTTTTTTTCTTTTTTCCTAAGAAAATGGGGGTGTGACTTGGAGGTTGATGCGTCTGATGACGTGGCACTGAATATTACATTTTAGGTGCCACGTCAATTTTCCGATCGGACATGTCAGCGCCTCTTCGCCGGAATTCAGTTTTGAGACAATTATGCAATACTTAATAAAAGTTTGTATTTTTTTGGCAAAATTTAAAAGGTTGAGTTTTATTTGCAATTAAGCAAAAGGTTGTGATTTTTTTGGCAATTAACCCTAAAATAATTAAAGTTGATTTGATGTAAAAGTAAGAGAAAATGATTGGAAGTGATAGTTAGTTAAAATTATGTGAGTAGATGAATAGTAAATTAAAGTTAATGTGATGTGTAAAAAAAATTGGTTGATATTATTTTATTATATTAATAATATTGAAAATAATGGAGTTGAATTAAAGTTGTGTTAAATTTGAGTTTGATATAGTCTTTTTACTGTACAACTAGTAGAGAGCCCGTGCGATGCACGGGATGTACATGTTTAAGGCTATTTATCCAGACTTATAATTATATACATGAATAAAGAAAGATGTACGGAATATATATAGTACGTGACCCGTGCAAAGCACGAGATATATTTATTTAGAGAATATTATATTATAAGATGCAATATTCAATAAAAATTTATAATACGCAAGAAAATTATACAATGTGCAATAAAAGTTGTATAATATTCAAGTAGAGTCTTAAAGTCTCTTGTACATTAAGACTACTGATAAAATAATATTTTAATCAATGAGTTTCCTTTCCTTGTAGCCAAATTGTGAATGTGATTTGAGGAGTACAACAAATCGATATATAGCTGACTTGCTTTTCTCATTGTAGATTTTTTTTTTTTTTATTTTATTTTTTTTTATATAATGAATTTAAAGATATTCTAAAATATAGCAAAAATTAATTTTTTTATTACAATTAGGAATTTTACTAAATATAAACTCTCAATCTATGGTGTTAATCAACGTTTAAGTCTAAAAAATTAGAAATTTTTATCTCTTTTAATCAACGTTTAAGTCTAAAAAACAATAGAGTTATTCTAAGTTTTTTTTTTCTACATCTTTTAAGACATTAAATATGATTAATTATTTTTCTTTCACTTTTTTGCAGACCAAATTTACAATTAAAAGAGTTGAAATATTTTTTTTTTTAAATTGCGTTTATCTGATTGGATGTAATGTATATTTTGGTACATCTTTTATTTGTGAATTATTTATTATTTATTTAGAAATTTCAAATATATTTTTTATTTTCAAAAAAAAAATTAAATGTAACAACAATAATATCATCTAATCACATTATACGGTCAACACATTATATGGTCAACTGTCATTAATCAAAAGTTTAAAATGATTTTTGTAATTTTGAAGTGATGAGTATTAATTATTTAATGATTAAATGAAAATTTAAATACATCAAAATGTAACGGTTTTTGGAGGGAAAATTGTTAAATTGCCACATAGGTAAAATTAAATAGGTTTTATTAAATGCTATTAGCTAGTAATTATATATATATATATATATAGATGTGAGATGAGCCTATTTTAAATTTTTGAATACATTATTTTAAAGTTTCTCACCAGGCGGGAGTCCTGTGCTCGTCCTTCAGTGTGGGGATTTGAATGACGTAATTGTCTGAGTTTGTGAGGTATTTGTACGTCGGAGCAAAATATATTTTCCCTTCTTCCCAGCCTTCGAACACTCGACCCGCTTTCTGTTCTATCTTTAACTGGCATATACATGCAAAAATCACATATTTTCTGGTGAATATATATAACTGTTAACAATAAAACTGAAGGTATATGTTTTCTTGACTGTTAACAAAAATTACATATTTTCAAAAACTAGCTTAGTTTTTGAAATATTTCTTGACTGTTTATATAAAACTGTTAACAATAATCATCCTCAAAAGAGAGTATGAATCATAAGTTTTGTACATAGTTCAGAAGGTATATGTTATTCTCATTTAACAGGATCTATATTGTGATGTATATGCTCAAAATGATTAATAACCCTTTAGTACTCCATCAAATGTGAATAAAAGGGTGTACTATAGATAGATATTCTCATACCTCATCTTTCTCCAAGAGTGCTTGCCAATCATTCCTTTCTAGTAACTAGTAACTTGTACGTATCATCCTTACCCCAAAATACAGAAGCTCAATATCGGGAAATGACCTAATTATTTTTCTACCATTGTTAACTGTTCTTTCACACTATCAAATTTTTTCATAAATAAATACATATTTCTTAATCTACATTGTTCAGGCACTAATCATCCACTGGCCCCAATGAAGTCGGATATCCAGATCAAGCTTTTACACGGAAAAATCTGCCACCCCAGGTAGCATCATCCAGGTGTATTAATAATATCGGACAATTACTGTCTCAACTAATTGTCTAATGCAGTCTCATCGCAAGTTCGCAAATAAACTATGTAATTACAAGATTTTGGTACAATGTTTCTAACGTAATCAACTAGCGACAAGAAACTTAAAGGTGGATATGCTGTCAACCTTCTTCAGATGCAAGTTGTTCCCATGCATGCAACCTCAAAGTTCGAGTATCTGCCTGTACCACAATAAAGGAATTGCGAAATCAGCAAAGCGCATGCGTACTAATTATTTTGATAGACATAAAGCAAATTAATTAAATATTTAGAAATATTACACATTTAACAATACAACTCCTGTTTCTTTTAAGCTATTTTCTTAAACAAGTAAAACATTTCTAATCTAAGGCACAATTGGGAACCAACCCATATGATGCAGGGGAAGAAATTTTTAAGATGAGTTATACCCAACCCGTAAGCTTACTCGTGAACTTCATACTAATTATCCATTATACCACATAGCTTGTCTGCCTAATGAGACAGGAACTGATGAAACAGGATTATACCAATGGCCCAATCGCACTCCAATCAGAACCAGCGGACATGCTTTGTATAAAACAGGATTATTAGTATGAATGGATAATTAGTATAAAACAGACTAATTATCCTAATGAAACAGGATTATACCACATAGCTTACTTCGTGCATGCATCTCTCTCATCAGTGACCCATCGATTGTCAAAAACTGAAATAAGTCAAAAGATTACATCTCGATATCACAGTATACATAGATGGTGCGTAGCTCTATGATTTTATATACTGAAAAATAAGAGCAGTACAGGGTTAACAATTGAGGCATTTAAAAGATTTGTTATATATACAACTATTTCAAAGAAAATAAGTAACTTTGACAAGAGATAAAAGCATTAATATTTAAGTTCTATTTCTTCCAAACTTTCTTTTCGCCTTTCCACCACACTTTTCCAACTTCCAACGGTGACAGAAACATATGACACTGAAACATATCTACCAATAGTAAAAACATCCTACACGTGGAGCATAAGAGTTTACCGCAGTTCAACTATTTACACATCTTAACTAATGAAACATGAGTAAAAAAGAAAATTCAAATTTACGCATTACCAATGGCCCAATCGCACTCCAATCAGAACCAGGGGACATGCTTTGTATAAACAGCTCCCAAAACTATTCAACACAACATTTCCTTTACTCTGAAGTAATAACTTCTTACTCTCATGTGGCTAAGAATCTGACAGTCCTTTCCATTTGCAGAAGGAATGTTTTAGCTCTCGATCACATTTTTTCCACATTTCAGAGAACTGGGATGTCAGCAACACATCTGGAGATTCAGGAGAAACCATATAACAGTTAATTATGCATCGACAAGCTCAGAGAAAGAATCAACTAGTTAGTGAAATTTAGGAAACATCACTTAATATTATTGCCAGTCATTGCAGAAAATCACATTAAACATAGAAAAACTTAATGAGGTTGTAAATTTAGCATGTGACGTTTCTTTATATGATCGCATGATCAGCAGGTCGGGATGCAGAAAGGCAGTCATGAATAAGAACAATAAAAAATACAGCAGGCAGCTGTGAATCAAAAGAGTGTGGGTCTTAACACCTGAATCATACTAAAAAACTCTGTTAAAATAAGAAACTCCAGCGTACAACAATCCCTCAGTGTTTGCCCACATAAATCACACCCTTGAGCAACATTGCTTGAAATCAAAACTAAAATAACCTAAGAATAACATATTTCATTGCTTCTTATGGTGAGTAGGTAAGGGGGATATCACATAACAATTTACAGAAGTTTCACAGTTCTATGAAACAAAGTAATGATTAGGCTTTCAAAAAAAAGAAAAAATGAAAGGAAGGGGATCATATGATCCACTTAATCAAGTATCCCAATAGCAATTAAACACTTCCCAAAAACTTTGGAACTAGAATAAATAACCAGCAATCAAATTAAAAATGCACACTTCCATAAATAAATATGACTGGAAGAAACTGAGCAATGATCCCAATACTTGATTTCACATGAACTTAAAAGGATATAATATCACATTACCTTCAGAATCATCAACGCCTGAAGAATCACCTCCTAGATACAACCTATTACCTTTACATAATTTTAAGCCTTCAATATCAGCAAGCTTGTCCAGCAAGCTACCCACAAAACGATAGGCCACCATACTCGAGGCATCACAAGCTTCCTGGACCTGAAGGTACTTATTACAGGACCTGCTGTGCTGGCTGACAATATCCGTCTCCAATAGGAATTCAGAAGATACACAATTCGGGTTGGTAGAATAACTGCTCGTACCCTCTTCACTTTTAACACCATTGTGGCTGGCGTCCAGTACGTTTGACTTCTTACAGAACAGCGAACAATCAGAACCGTCTGCTTCATCCCAATCTATTTTCAGAATATGCATGGACTCCAAGGACATAGCTAACCCTTGGTCTGGAGAACAAAAGGGAGAACAGTCATCATATGCTTTGCTTGTTGGTGAAGGCGAACCACTCTTTACCAGCTTTGTCTCACCAATACTTTCAGACTTGCCATCATAAGAGTCACTAGAATGAAGTTCGTAATGCCCAGGAATACCCCCA